TACCACTGAGCCACAACCCCCTCCCATCAATAATAATTTTAATGAGGAAGTTAAGATAATAAATCTTAGCCCATTGTCATCCCATTGTCACTTTTCCCCCCCTTAGAGGTTTTTTTTTTTTTTTAACTTTAAATGCAGTGGAAAGTTCTTGGACAGCAGGGTACAGTATTCTATCATTTTAAATTATACACTCCAAGTTCATTTTATTTAAATTTCTGAAAGAGAAATACATTTTTAATGTATAGTCATGTATTGCTTAAATGACAGAGATACATTATGAGAAATGATTAACTTGTGATTTCTTGTTGTTATGTGACCATCTTAGAATGTGCTTACATGATCTAAGATGACTGTGACATGAAGTGAAATTTTTCTGTCTCACTACAATATTAAAGAACCATGGTAATATGGATTCTGACATTGATTGAAATGTTATGTGGTACCTGGCTGTTATAGACATTTAGTATATTTTAAAATTAGGACTTGTATTATGCAGAATTTACTTTATAGGTTTTCAGTTGGGAAATCTTATTTACATGTCACCTATTATTACATTGTAATTTTTCCTTTTAATATTAATGACACAAAACTCACATAGAATTAAATAGTACCAACTTTTGGGCTGGAGTGTAGCTCAGTGGTAGACAACTTGTCTAAGGTCTGGGTTTGATTTCCAGCACAAAACACAAGAAAAACACCACGAAAACAATAACAGAAATAAATGAAATACAACACCAATTTTTAGTAGCTGTTTTAGAAGATATTTTATTGTATTTATTTGTAATGATAATGAGCTGCATGTGTAATTGAAAAAAGTATGAGTAAGGTATATAGGATTGAATAGTTGAATTCAAAACACTTAGGAAACTTGGAAACTTTATATGGACCCATAGGCTAGATTTTAGTAGTTTCAGTACTAGAGAGGGAGGTGGTACTTTATAGAGTTTAAAAAAAAAAAAAAAAGTTGAGTAATTTGGTGCTGATTTTGAAGGCTTTTTTCTTCTTTATATAAATGCTGAATTTTATTTCTTACGGTATTGGGTGATACAAAATTTGGTAGTCTTTTGATTTTACAGAACTAAGCCATGTAAAGATATTGAATAGAAAATCATGACTTCACTTTAATGATATTGACACTTAATGGTTTTTAAAAAAGAAAATCATTTTGCATTTCCTTATGAACGAATGTATATAGACTTTGAACACCATCCATTAGTGATAATCTACAAAATATCATATGCTTTCAGATGGAGAACACAATATTGTCTTTGAAGTAGTCTTGCTGAAAATAAAATTGAATCCTAATATGATTATATTTCTAGATATAATTAGCTATGTCTTAAGATTAGGAACCTGTTAATAGACATCAGAATGATAAAATTAGCAAAATCTAAACCCTGGGAAAAGCCTATACTTATACATACACATCATACCATTTTCTCTAAAAAAATTATTAAAAATGTGGGGGTAGGAACAAAATTAAGAGATTTACATGGCATATCAACCAAAAGGATTTAAATTTTTTATAGTGACATAAGTATTTACAGATATAGTTTGCTTTGCTATTATTGGAAACATAAAAATTGTGATGTTTAACTGGATAGGAATAATTTTGGGATAAATTTGAAGTCATGTGATATAAAATAACAGGGGTTTAATGTGACATTCATGAATGTCCTATATTTAAGAAAAAATACTTTGGAGAAAACTTTTTTTTCAAACATGGAGTAGGATTTATATAACATTTCTCTGGAAAAAAAATATACACCCTTCACATGTACATTTACAACAGATATATTTTGAAAGGTTTTTTTTTTTTTTTTTTTTTTTGTGTTGTTTAGAAATAGAACATAGAGATATTTAATCACTGAGTCACATCTCCAGACCTTTTTTTATTTTGAGACAGGGTCTTGCTAAGTTGCTGAGGCTGGCCTCGAACTTGTGATTCTCCTGTCTCAGCCTCCTGAGTCTCTGAGATTACAAGCATGCACCATCTTGACTAGCTGAAAGTATATTTATAGGAAAATATTGCCATTCTAATTCTTACATCTGAGCCAAATATTTAATGTTTAAAAGATTCTCTCAAGTTGCATGGTTCTTAAAATTATGAGTTTGCTTTAGTTGATTAATTGATATATAGTCAAAAAATTTGTTAAAAATGGTCTGGCTTCATTTTGGATTTTCCTATATAAATTGACTTTTATTTAATTCAAAAAATAAAATTGAGTATAGATTAAATACATCTGTTTCTCTTCTAAATATTACTGTGTGCCTTTATATTTTATCAGGTTTAATGATATCCATGTACCAATACGCCTGGAATGTGTGAAATTTGCTAGTCATTGTCTCATGAACCATCCTGATTTAGCAAAGGATTTGACAGGTACTATATACATGTAACAGCAAATATTCCTAGGTGTTCTTAGTGGGCGGTGTGTGTGTGTGTGTGTGTGGTGTGTGTTTTACAATCCTTACTTTTATAAAGGCAAAAATCTTTGTTGTTTTAGTAGTTGAAATTGTCTTATTCCAATTCATCAGCATGAAAATTATTCTCTGAAGCTATAATCTTTATAGCATAGTTCCTGTGTTGGCTAGAAACACCTATGAAAAGTTACTGTCTTCATGAAAATTAGTTTCTTAGTTCATGGACAGTTCCAAATTTTTTTAAAGAATTTGAATTTGAACCGGTGTTGACTGAATAGATTGTTAAGACTCATAGTCTTTAATATTTTAAGAACTAGGTGAGAATCATTGATTTGTAATTTAATTTCACTGTGCTAGTTGGAGGTAGCTTTAAAACTCTGGATGGCATAAGCCAGTTCAGAAATTTGCATTTATGTACTAATGAGAATATCATATCTATTACTGTTCTGTTCAATTTTTAAATATTAAATAGCTCAGAAGATTTAGATTAGTTTAGCAGCCACTATGTCTTCCTTATGAATGTTAGCACTTGCTGTGTTTTTGAGATTAAAAACGTATATAGTCAAAATGCCCTCACAAACTGTTCTCCCTGCTTTTTTAGAGTATAGCTACTCAACTGAATTTGGTCTACATACCATCCATGTTTTTATAGCTACCACATGTGTATCTTTCCATAAAGAATGTATAGTATTATAATGTGTTTAGAACATTTCATTGAAATATTATTTGAATTTGATAGGAGTTGAACTTGCTGTCTTATTTTACTATTTCTTTTTTTTTCCTTGCTTCTTTCTTTTTATGTTTCTCTCTCTTTTCTGTTGGATGGATTTTCTTTGTTTTAATTTTTCCTTTCTTTTCTGTGGGTTCCAAAGTAAACACTATTTTTTGGTGCTTTGAGTACATAATTGGTAATGAAGTCTAAAATTAACCAGAACTATAGCTTTTTTTCTGAGCAATCATAGACCCTTAAAGGCTTTAACTTATCAGTCTCTCATCTTTCACATTCTTTTAGTCATTTATTTTTTTAAAACTTCCCAATTTGTAGTACATTTAAAAAATATTTATTTTTTAGTTATAGGTGGATACAATGTCTTTATTTTATATTTATGTGGTGCTGAGGATCGAACCCAGTGCCCCACGCATGCTAGGCGAGTGCTCTACCTCTGAGCTACAATCCCAGCCCTGTAGTACATTTTTAACTGCTTTTTTTTTTTTACAGTCTTTCTTATCATTGCTTTTCAAATCTTAATTACTACTACTGAGTTTCTTTTGATAAAGAATACCACGAACTATATTCATTTGTATTTAAACAAAAACTTGTCATAGTAATGCATTTAGTTATATTAAATTATTATCAATCATCTAAAGAAGCAGGTATTTTTACCAGTTTCATCCTTTTCTGGGGAGACACCTCACTTTGGAGCTGTCTATCTTCCTTTTCACATCTGGATTGCTTATACAGTTAGCTGCTTCTGTATAGCCTTGATACTGGAACTATGCATTCTTCTTCCCTTCTTTGCCCTCCTTCCACATTGGCTCTTTTTTCCTTTCTTCCTCTCTCTTTCTCTTCCTTCCTGTCCCTTTATTTCTCTGCCTGCATGTCTGTGTATCTGTGTGTCTGTTTCACCCTCCTGTCTCCCCATGTTGTCTTTCCTCCTTTTTTCCCTCTGGATATTTCTTTTTTTATAGCATCCTTTTCTTGTGTTATTCGATGTAGTATTTTCTGCGACCATGAATGTTAGTTTTGTGGGGAGTTCTTTTCCTCTACAAAATGTTTTTAGTAACTGCTCCCCCCCCCACCACCATTTTATTGTTTTTGTGTCTGTTTTCTTTGTTAAAAACATTTCCTCAAAATCCTTGGTAATTTGAAGCTGTTTAATGGGAACAGGAATGTGACTAAATGAAAAGCCATTTGGAAATTTCTGAGATTATGAATGGATCTGTCAACTATGAACTTTAGGGTGATAAGGGTGAGTTATTTGTGGGAAGACCCTTACTTTAGATATTTCTACTTTAGCGGGTCGGATTTCCATGGAAGAACATCTTTTCTGTAAATCTAGTTTCTAGTGTCTGTGGGAAAAGGACAGTGGATTTCTGCATTCACATTTCTTGTCTGTTGTTTACTTAATATTCTTTTAGGTTATGGTGTCCATGCCCTCAACTGTTTGGGTGTTCCCCACGTTAGAGATTCTCTGATTTGCACTATTTATTAAAAGTCTTCTTTAGGATCAGTTTGAAATGGCATAGGGCTAATCTTCTAGATGGGTTGTTGTATTTTCTCAGTTTTCATCCAGGTGCCCCTTCTCCCTTCTTCTCCATGATCTGAAGCTCCAGAAGTACTTGTACAGTTTCTAAGCCTTTTATATAATGTGTAATATAAGGATTGGTTTACTAATTTCCCCTTTACTGGCTAGGAATTTTGTTTTCTTGAAAATCTGAAGTTATATTTGTTCACTTACTTTCCAAAGTCTAGTTTTTTCCCTCCTTTTGTGTCTCACTTGTTCATACCATTCTTAAATATTTATTCTTGAAAGTATTTAGGTATGACTTATCTCCAAAATATTTTTTATTTGTTATTGTTAGATAAACGTGAAGTAGAGTATATTTTGACATATTATACATACATGGTGTGTAACTTATTCTAATTATGATCCCATTCTTGTGGTTGTGTATCATATGGAGTTTCATTGGTGTTCCAATATATTTTTTAGTTTTATTATTCATCTTTAAGAAGCTTAAAGAATTCGAAATAATTCAGTATGAAAAATTGGTCACATTCTCTTAAAATTTATTATTAAAATTTATTTTAATGGTATCAAAATGATACCATTAAAATAAATTCTTCGTTTATTTTTAGGCTTTCATTTTAGATTTTGAATTTTCTCACTTTTATACAGTGTTTGTCATTTTTTTCATTTATTTAAGTATAATCAGACCTTAGTGTTTTTTTTCTTTTCAACTTGTAGCAGTCTGTACCAAGTTAAATTATACATGACTACAGAGAGCTTCTCTTTCTTTGATTTGCTCTTATGTTAGGTCACATAGATTGTAAAGGATTTACAAAGTAGGAAAGAGATAGTGCTGGGAATTAACTGCCAAAGTTTATTGTTCCTTCTTAGGTCTCTGTTGGCTTTTTCTCTTTCCTGATGACCTTAGATATAGTCTCTCCTTAATTTTTTTTCCCCTTGAACTTTTATTTATTTTTTATTGATTATTTTAATTGTACATGACAATAGAATGTTTTGATAAAATTATGCATGCATAATTAATATCTTATTCTAATTAGTACCCCATTCTTGTGGATGTACACAATAATGGGATTCGCTTGTTTTTTTTTTTTTTCCATATATTCTTCGAATTTTCTAACTGCCATCCCTTTTCTACAGATGAGGGCTATATTCTATCTATTTATTTCATTTTACAGAAGATTTCTGTCTTATTTCTTTCTTCCCTACGTGAAATATGGTGGCAGATCTTCTGAGATTTTCGCTGCTAGAGAGTGATGAAACTCTAATGAGAGTAAGAAAACAATCCTTTATTTTGTTTGAAGGTGAAAGCTTTGATTTTTATCACTTTCTATCAGATCTTCAATTATAATATTTTCTTTTAAGCTCACCACCGCTAATATTTTAAATTCCATGGGCTTCATTCCTGACCAGGACTATCATCTTACTTTCTGCATATGAACCTTGTGCTGCAGTGGTTCTCAACCCCAGCAGATCCAGTGCTTCTCTTAATCAAATAACTTATAATTCTACTTTTGATGTCCTTAAATAAAATTTGTAATTTACTTAATGTAATTAAAAAATTATATCCAGATGTAATGTATAGTTAGGGAAAGAAGGGATAGGAGGACAGTAGGCAGGGAGACTATGTGCTGAATGGGTCTTGGCCATTCAGGGCAATGGGTCTCCCTTGTTTTCCTCTAGCCTAGAACATTGACCTTGACCATCTCAGGCTATTACCTGTAATTCTTTAGACAAATGTATTACTTTTCTGAAAGTTAAACCTCAAAGTAATTTACATGCTTGTGTTAGTTGATACACAGGTGCATTATAGATTCTAATGTTATCTGAGGGTCACTAAATGTTCTGAATTTTGTGAATTTAAAGAAAGATTATTTAGCATATAACATCTTAATAACTTAGGTGTAGGCTATCTTTGGAATTTAGAATGCAGAGCTAAGGGAGGGGAAGTCAAAGAACAGTTCTCAATTGGTAAGCCACTGTTAACATTTATATAGATTTTTGACACTCCTTGCATTCAGCCAAAGTCGGCATCTCTTGTCTCTTTAGGTCTTTGAAATTTTTAAATATTTCCTGGGTTCTATTCTGAAAATGAGCTTGTTTAATGTTTTCTTTCTCATTTGGATTTCATCCTTTTCCTTTGTCCTGTGTCATTTACCTGTGTTGCATCTGTCAAAATTTTGTTGACAGATCATCTCTTGCTATGATTTCTTCTTGTTATGTTTCTCCTTTAACCATTTTAGTAGAGTTTCAGGAGTAAGCAGAAATAAATATGTTATACACACAGATTTATCTTCTTTTGCTGGTAGTAATTGTGAGATTCATTCTTTTGACCTTAGCCAAATTTTGAGGGATGCAGCCATATTGTGAAGAATATTAGTAGATGCTTTGTTATGCTAATAATTGAGAATTTATTTTTTCTTCTCTATTATCACTTTCTCCTCTCAGTTGATGTCTATGAAATAATAACATTTGTGTATACTTGTTTAACATGAATGACTAGTTTTAGAGAAGTTGTGAAGCATCTTAAAATTGATGGAGTGTCATTGGATTTTTTTTCTTTCTACGTGACACATAAAATAGTATGTGATGCTTTTGGAGTACAGTTAACTATAAAACTTGTGTATGTATCTTGGTAAGGATAGGAATTTGAGCTCTTTTAACATGTTCATTTGAAATCATAGTGCTAAATTTACTGGGTTAGGTAAACAACATTTGCCTTTCTTTAGAAGTTTTTTCTAGCAACATTTAGTCTTTCTCACTTTTAGAATAGTTTCTATTAATACAGCATGTGCAAAGTGGAGGGGTTATGACATGGGCAGTGATGTTATGGGTGCTTGAATCATAATTGTTTGTTAAAACTGTTTCTAGAGAATTAAATCTACTCAAAATCAAAAACACTGTTTGTGTATAGGCAAGACTATGTTTAGTAACCCAAACAACCAAATTTCTCTCTCATAATAAAAAGATGAGTAATATTTTGTTTAATTTGTGTTTAGTTTTTGCAACTAAAGCCTAAGATTTCATTACTGAAGTATGTTAAATTTGTTTTCCAGTTTACTCATTGCTATGAATGAACTCCATGTTTTTGACTCATAATTGTGAAATCTGTTTCATTTCTTCTATCTTTCCCTTGGCCTTTTCTCATTTAGTCGAATTGCCCCAAAATCTTTCTTACTCTGTTTCTTGGCTGCCAATATCTCAATTTTATTCTTTCAGTAACCTTATTCAGGGTTTCCTTAGTTATAGGAAAGAAATTCTAATACTCTAGCCTTTTCCCAATAGCACAGCTTGACTTGAGTGTTTTATCTACTTATATGGAAAACAAAAACGAAATGTTTAACATTGATAGAATTTTGTTCATTTCTATATTAATGAAGTTAGAAACTACTTAGTCTGCTTCCTTGCCCAGCCAATGAGGAGAGAGGTTTTACTGTTCAGTTGCATGTAAGCATTATTATTTGATTGAAGGGCTGACCTTTCTCCTCTTCCTTTCTCTTCCTTTTTCTGGCTCTTGACTTTCTTGAAATATTGAACCTTCTACTTAGGTTTTGTTTTTGCTGTGGTTTATTTTCACAGGTTTTCTGCAATCTTTTTAAACATTTTAATTGTTAAAGTTTCCATTTTAATCAAAGAGTATATTATCTTTCAGAGTATCTTAAAGTGAGGTCACATGACCCTGAGGAAGCTATTAGACATGATGTTATCGTGTCTATAGTTACAGCTGCTAAAAAGGATATTCTTCTGGTCAATGATCACTTACTTAATTTTGTGAGAGAGCGAACATTAGATAAACGGGTAAGTAGAAATAAGTAATAATAAGTAGGTTTTTATTTTTAATATTTGAAAATAGTATTTCACTTGAAAATACTGTTTTTTTAATAAATATAGTAGTTAAATTCAGTATCTGAGGCTTGAAGGAAATAAAGTGAAGGGAAATGAAAAACTACTACTATAGTTTACTGAATTTGTACAATAGAAGCAGTTTTACATTATAAAGAAAACTTTTTTATTTTTATTTTAAGTGGAGAGTGCGTAAAGAAGCTATGATGGGACTTGCCCAAATTTACAAGAAATATGCTTTACAGTCAGCAGCTGGAAAAGATGCTGCAAAACAGATATCATGGATTAAGGACAAATTGCTACATATATATTACCAAAATAGTATTGATGATCGGTAAGGACACTATATATGTGTATTTGATGATTTGGGGTATAATTTCTTGATCTGTTGCTTTATGCAAACTGTTTTGATTGTCACTTTAAATCTTATCCTTAGTTTTTATTACAGGGGAAATGAAATGAGTAGTTTCTCTTTTTCACCAAAGCCACAAAAGAAGCAGTAATGTGCACAACTTTAGGGAATGGGTACAATTTTTATATTATTTTTTATGCATTATTTGTGAACAGAGTTAAATCTGAAAGTAGGAATATATCTAGTTATAATTTAGTTTTGTTTCATAATTGTGTTATAAGGAGTCTCAATTTTTTCAAATGAAATTCAAATAAAAATAAACTGGATTAAGGGCATTTTAAATAGAACCAATTCCTAGTCAAGGCTAAATACAGTTTATAAATTTCTTTAAAAATACATTATCTGCCTAAGGATAGATCTTGTATGGATCTCAGTCCTTTCACAATCAGTAAAGCCACAAATCCTGTTTATAGTCTGAATTGACAGCTTATTAGTGGGATCTAAATAGTTATGCCTATAGCAGGTTACAGTGAGAAAAGAAACATAGGTTTGTATCAAAATTTGAAGATTTGTAGAAATTAGAACCTGAGGTCTTAGGGTTAACATTATCTAAGAAATTTATTTTCATAAAAGTAGTTTTTAGACTTTTTGAGTGGCTGGTATTAGTGTATAGAATTTGCATTATGACTTGCTAGTACATTTCTTTCTTTTTTTGGGGGAGGGGATAGTGCCTCTTCTTCTGGGCCTCTTCATGCAGTAAGCCATGATGGGGGGAAACAGAGGTGCCATCAAAGCTCTAGGCTAACAAAGGAAATGAGAGAGAGGACTTAGTAATTTCTGATTACTTTTAACCAGGCTGTTTTTCATGATAATAACTTTAAAAAGTCAGGAATTTGTTTAATATGTATTTATTGTATGTTTTAGAATTTTACATACAAATTTAGTACATTTAAAAAGAGTCAACATGGTCCCTTCTTTGTGCTTTTATAGATTACTTGTTGAACGGATCTTTGCTCAATACATGGTTCCCCACAATTTGGAAACTACAGAGCGGATGAAGTGCTTATATTACTTGTATGCCACACTGGATTTAAATGCTGTGAAGTATGTCTCAAATGTCACACTCTTCTTTTCATCTTTTGCACTATTGGATTTTATGGAAAAGAAACCACAAATAGCTTTATTTGAAAATGTAAACTATGTAATGTAAACATTGTTTTAAAGGGTCAAGACACAATAAAATACTCAACTTTTTTTTTTTTTTAAGAAGTTTTGTCAAAATGAGATCAAGCAACTTAAAGCAATTAAAAAGTAGAACTAATTGATTTGGAATCTTTTAGAATTTGATTTTTTTCTAAAGTTTTCATATTGTTGGTATCTCAAGAAATGTGATATACCTATTTTTCTTCCCTTAAGGTGTTAGAAAGGTCCATATTATGAAAATGCTATCATCTGATTCTTAAGTGGTACTGATTTAAATTATGATATAAAGCAGTAGGACACAAACTTTTGTGCTACATACCCTCAACATAGTATTATAGTTTAGTAAAAGGGTAAGCACAAATTGTGTGTGTGTGTGTGTGTGTGTGTGTGTGTGTGTGTGCGCGCGCGCGCATGAGTTTGTTAATTTACTTGCCATACTGGGGATTGAACCCAGTACATTTAACTACTGAGTTGTACACCCAGCCTTTTTAATTTTATTATGAGTCAGAGTCTCATTAAATTCCTAAAGCTGGCCTTGTACTTGCATTCCTCCTGCCTCAGCTTCTATAGTTGCTGGAATTACAGGTGTGTGTTACCATACCTGGCTACAGATATATTTTTATGATCACATTTTATTCAAAAAGTACCTTTGGATGTCTAGGTAGTGAGTTAATATTTGAGACATGGAAGACACATTGCTAATCTAATTGAATCAAATTAAGGATTAAGAAGTTGAGGTCTAGGGATTTACTGTAGATCTTAGAAAGTGTAAACCCATAGTAGTCCAGTGGTTTACAACTATTGAGAATTAACATGTTCAGAAATTGGAGTTTGAAAGAGCCATATGTAATTTTCATTTGTACTTCTGCTTAATGGGACTTAAGACTTCATTTCCTCCTTAGTAAAAATTATACATTACTGATAATTTATATAGAAATGTACATTCCTTGATACCCATTGTATTTCAGGCACTGAAATATGCATTGTCTATGAATAGTTTGGCATTATAATGGAAAAGTAGTTGCAAAAGACATACTGTGACCCATAAAGCTTAAAATATTTATTATCTGGCTTTTTACAGGGAGAAATAAAACCCTATACAGCCTCTAATTCAAGTAGTATTTTTCTGATTTTACATATAGTAAACTGAATTACACAGAAATAATTAACTTGCATAAAGTCAAATCAGTTTTAGTAAGAGAACCATGTTCAAAATCAGTTCTTCTTGGTTCCAAAAGTCATTGTTTCTCTACTCTATGTAGTAAAATATACTAACTATATTTAATTTTATTACATATATTGTAAATTTTTCACTGCAATTGGAATGCATCTTAAAATTGTCACTTGTTGTAGTTTAATTGGTGGTTCTTTTTCTTATGGTACAGTTGATAGCCTCTTAGATTGGATGAGATGTGGCATATATATCCTGTTTGAAACAGTCTTATTAGAAATTGAAGCATATCTTGACTCCTTGACTCAACTCAAATATCATTCAGCTGTAAAAATGAAGTGAAGATGCTTCTAAACAAAAATTGAGAATTTGCTACTTCAGATCTTATGTGAAAAAATTACTTAAAGAGTTGTTTGGTTTTTTTTTTGTAAGAAAGAGAGGATATGGAAGAAGCAACAAAAATTTCAAATATGTTTGCAAATCTAAATAAAGGATTATAAAAATAATAAGGTTTTTTTTTGTAAGGATGATGTAGATTTAAAAGTAAGCATGCATCCAGGCTGATATTTTTTTTTTTGTAAGGATGATGTAGATTTAAAAGTAAGCATGCATCTAGGCTGATATTTAATCAGCATACTCCCTGCAATTAATTGTATGTAAACTCTCTCAAGTGTCCCTGGAACCCTCCGTCCCATAGTTCCTTGTGTCTAGTCATAGAAGGAGGGTCTCCAGGACATTCTTCTACTGCCCACTGTTCTGGTTGGTGCCATGACAATGTGAAAAATTTTGGACTTTATCAGACATAAAACATGTAAGATAATAGGTGAGTAATATGCACTAAAAAGTGTTCTAATGTTCTTTTATCGTGTAAGAGTAAGAATAGACATGTCAACTAATTAGACCATATGTCAGGTACACATTTTAGAAATTTAACAGTCACCTTTAAAAGAATGAAATTAGTACAGAGTTTCCAGATCCAGGGAATAAAAAAGAATTAATAAAAACTTAATACTAGAAATAGAAAATAAGAAAAATAATTGTAAGTAGAAACACAAATTATAAATAGTACTTATAAAACAAACCATATCAGACATTACTCTTCACTTAAATGATAAATATATTTGATTGAATTTAAAAATAAAGCACTCATTAATAAGAGATATTCTGAAAAATAATGCTACTGAAATGTTGAAAGTAAATTTTACTTTAGGCCTGTCCTTGAAAAGACTTTGATTCTACAAAAATAGTTTGTGAATAAAATATAACTATTTAAGTTAGGTATATATCATTTTATCTCACCAACTTTGGAATTAACTGATCCACAGTAATACTTGCCAAAATTTTAGTATTTACCTGTGTTTTCTTCAAAGACCATTACATTCTTTATTTTGTAATGATAATAAATTACATAAATGTGAGTTATTATGTATAATAAAATTAAAATATCTACAAATATACCATCCAACTTGTGAACTTGTTGCCCTTCCATCTTCCTATCTTTTTCCCAGAGATAACCTCTAGTCTCTAGTTTTTCTCATCTCCTATAAAAAATACCTTTGTGTACATATGGATGTGTAGGTATCCCTTAATAATATTTCTGCTTCTTTTGAACTTGATGAAAATGGAATAATTTTGTGTATTGTCTCGTGACTTTTATGTCATTAAGTCACAATTTTATTTCATTTTTTTACATTGAAAATTTGTCTCAATAGAGAGAATGGATGTGTGTCTTAATTCTTTTCATGGTACTTATTGGGAATTGTACTCGCCAGGCCTGCAGTCCACCACCGAGCTGTACTCCAAACCCTTTCTTTCTCTCTCTCCCTCCCAGTCCCCTCCCTCCCTCCCTTGCTTCTTCCTTCCTTCTAGTAGTATTATGAATATTTAAAGTTTAGTGCATGCCTTCAGGGGTTTCTCTAAGGTATAATTACATATTTTCCTTAATTTAGCTACATTTTGGAATCACCTTGAGAGATTTAAACAAAACCCACACCTGTATCTCTCCTTAAAAGCTTCTCATTAAATTTGCCTGGAAGACAGTCTGGGCATTAGGGGTTTCAGAAAAACATTCAGGAAATTCTAATGGACAGTCAGTTTGGAATCGCTAATGTATAGCTAGGAGTAGAATTGCTGAGTATGTTTATTTTCATCATTATAAGCTAGTATTGAATTGATACTACTTTATAATTCTACCAGTGGTTTCTGAATTTCTACATTCTCCTGTATATTATCAGACATCTTAAATTTTTTTTTCCAAGTAACAATTTTATTCTAATCTACAGCACAATTTTTACATACATTTTAGTGGTTTTTGACAGTGTAACTTTTAAGCAGATTTTTAAATCAATCTACAAAAGTTCATATGTTAAAAGAAAGGCTATTTAGATAGGCAGTAAACAAGAACAAATTGCTGCTTAATGATTGTATAAAAATACTTGAAAGGACAGTAAGCTAAATATGTTTTATATGAGTTCTTAGACAATGATGGTCACTTTTTAATTTCAACTATAGTTGTAGCTTATGGTGGGCTTTAGAGTTGTTTGAGATTTCATCTTTAATAAATAACTACAGTAGATTAAATAATTTCCTCTTTGTTTTAAGTAAAAGCAAGTCTCAACATCCAGGTCTTTCAGAAATTGTAAGTTATGATTAGTAATATGAAAGAGAATGCATTGACTTTGGATTTCAGAAGTAATTTCACAGACAACTACCCTGCTTCCTTAAAAGTTATATTTTAATTATGTAACATATAGTTTTTAGGTTTTTATAGTCTTCTGGAGAATAGATATTTTGCTTTCAGTGTTTATATTAATAAATTATGCCAATGAAACTTCCTGAAATTTTAATAACTTGAAAATAATAATAAAGTATAACTGTTTAAATTTCACATTCTAAATTGAAAATGCCCTAATACTGTTGTTTTGTGAGTGTCTTTTTTTTTTGTATCAGAGATTGAACTTTGCGGCACTCAATCACTGAGCCACATCCCCACCCCCATGTTGTATTTTATTTACAGATAGGGTCTCACTGAGTTGCTTAGTGCCTTACTTTTTTACTGAGGCTAGCTTTGAACTAGAGATCCTCTTATCTTAGCCTCCCAAGCTGCTGAGATTACAGGTGTGGGTCACCTCACCCCACAAGTATCATTTTAAAGTGACTGCTGTACAGAAATTTAAGTTTCCAGATTCAAACTAGTTATTGCCTTTAAGAAATCCAAAGGCATTTTAAATTGTAAAGGATAGAATGGAAAATTAAGCAATCTTCTTTCCATCAAAGGAAAAAGAGATGTTTTATATGCTTCTGTTTTTATTACTTACTTGGCAGTGCTTTGTGTGTATGGTCACAGAGGTTAATGAAGTATAGATAATTGAAAATAAACCAATGAAAAATAGTTTTTAAATTTCTTTTTAAAATTTTAAAATGTGTGGCTCTGATATTCTATAACTTAATATATTGTTAACACTGGTTGTTCTTTGATTAATATATCTTTTTTAATTACCTAAGTTCTTTTTTGATTTAAATTTCTGCCCAAGAAAAAGACATTTATTAGGAAGATATCAGGATTTTTGCCAAATTGAAAGAATATTGACTTTTAGCATAAATAATTCCTGTCAGCTTAAATGTAATACAATAGCTGTTTTAGGAAAAAAATCCCCATTTTTTTTCATAACTATACCTCTTTTCTGTTTCTGTCATGGATTCTATTTTATTCTACCTTTTATAGGATCTTCTTCATTTTTTCCTTTATTTATTAAATTTACAATTTCTCCAATTTATACCCTTAGCCTACAAAAGTGCTCTTATTAATGGTAAATACAGCTTACTTTTAGACAAGGCAAAACACAACCACTGGGAATTTCTTCTTTTGATCCTGTTTTTTTTATTGTTATATTTGACTGCCCCCCCCCCCATCATCAGTTACTAAGTCCTGTGAATTTTCCTATGTCATCTTTGGTAATTTGAACCCTTTTTAATAGTTATGTACTTAGACAATTCTGGAAAGATTTTTTTTAACCTATTTTATATGTTTGTGTTTTTTAGAGCATTGAATGAAATGTGGAAATGTCAAAATCTGCTCCGACATCAAGTAAAGGATTTGCTTGACTTAATTAAGCAACCTAAAGTAAGCTAAATTTTAAAGGAAAAATTTCTTTTGATGTTAAGTTTTGTAAAACACACACATTTTAGTTGCTATTTACCATTGCTGCTTTGTATTAACAGTGGAAGAGTTCTGACTAAAGATAGAACTTAAGATTCCTAACTTAGCTGTAATTTTTAAGAAACTTATTACATAGAAAAATTTTAAGAGTTTACTAAATCTGCAAAAGGTGATAGCCATCAGAAAAGAGAATGTACTTCTGTGCATTCAAAAGTTTTTGGTATCTTTAAAAATAAAGAAATAAACAATAACTCAGTGTTACTGAAAGCTTAAAAAATAGAATAAAATTACACTTTTATTTTGCCACAGGAATACTCTCCACATCTTGTATACTCTTAGGATTTTAGAAAGTTTTTATAATCAGGTAATTATAGTACAGTATCTTTGTATTTTCTCTTCCAGTTAATATTATGGTGATTTTAATGTGTTGCTTGAATATCTAATTATAGTCAAATGATAATATTCATCTAGTAAAGTATCATTTTCTTTTTGGGTATTTAGAATGATTTCAGTATTAGGTAGGCCTATAAATGTTATAATTCATCCAAAACATATTGCATTATTGTACCTGCTTATTTTAAATTGCATTGAGGGAAAACAACAGTATTTTATTTCTTCTTCAGTCCATAATGGTCTCTCCAGACCCTTTCATCACACAAACCTTGTATTTGTAGGACAGTCAGTAAAGCAGTATAGTTTTATCTAAAAGGAGAAAGCTTCCAGTTTCTCTGGGCATAATTTGACTAATTGCTTTAAAAATCCATAAATTAACAGCAGTTGTTTTAGAGATTTGTAGTGATTCTCTAACTTTTTTTTTTTAATCTTTAAGTGTGGTTTGAAGATTTCAAAGATATTGTACCATTTGTTTGCCTAATTGAAGCTTATGTCTGAGTAGTATTTTTGTTTTGTAGGCTAACAATAACCTTTATGTTTTATGGAATATATATAACCTGTTTTCTATGATTGTTGAGTGTATTGAACCTGTTGGAATATGTGTTTTCCCTTATGATAAATGACTTAAAAAACAATTCAGTGATTTTTGTTTTCTTTTTCTGAACCCTAAATTAGTGTATTTCAGTCAATAGGCATGTGTTTTGTTGAGTATTATTATGCAATAAGTCATTGTGTTTCAGTGAGTAATCTGGGCATTAAGTGCTGTTACTTTGAGCAGTATTAATTTATTTCCTCTGGCCAAACATGCATCAGTGTTACATAAAAATAAGAGATGTTCTTATATTTATGTGTATAGAATTCTTGACTTGGGGTATCATTGAAATCATAATAACCAGGTAGTATGCTAAATATGTAGATCATGTATAGCACATTCATATCATGTTGCTCAGGATGTGTGAGATTTTAATCAAGTACAACTTTGCTTTGACTTGAGTCTTTCAGCTTTTACTTCTTTAGTAGAACTTCTTTATCTTGCCTCTTAATAAAAACTTGAAAGGATCTCATGATGTTTTTACTCAGTCATATATGAAATGATAAAATAAAAATCTCAGTTCATTTGCAATGCTTAGTTTCTTTCTACTTTGTGTAATTTTTTTTTTGCTTGTCTTATAATAATTATCAAGTAGGAATTCTCAGTAATATGTGGTAGGATTGAAGAAGAAACAAAATGGAGGAGGATAGTACTCCAATAGAGTTGTGTTGTAAGAAGAATTAGTAGTTTCTCTCTGTTTGTACTAAGATTTATAATAGACATAAGTGAATTAAAGTTAGAAAAAATTCAAAGATATGCTTAACTTTTGGGTATTTATATTTCCTCATATCTTACCAGGAAGACTTTAACAGTTGGTTTATGTTTGTTCTTTTTTTTTTTTTTTTTTTTTTGCTTTCTTTATTATTCGGTTTGAGTAAGCCAGTTTTTAATTTTTGGCTCAGCAACATAGCCCCTCTACTTCATTGAACTGAATTAATTATTCAAAAGTGTCTTTTGAAAAAAAATGTTTTTTTAGACATTGATGGGCCTTTATTTTGTTCATTTATTTATATGCAGTGCTGAGAATTGAACCCAGTGCCTCACACATGCTATGCAGGTGCTCTACCCCTGAGCCATAACCCCAGCTCCTCAAAAGTGACTTTTTAATTTTCAGTATTGCACTTTTGTTGGTGCAGTTTCTTTTCATGTAATTCAACTTCTTGAAAGCCCAGCACAATCTCTTTCATCAGTAAATGAAACAACAAAAATTGTATGTTTCTTAAAGTATTGCTGTTTAGTATTCCAAATTTCAAGTATTTGGGAGTTAATTCTTGTACTTTATTATGCTTTGTCTCTCATTTCCTTTTAAACAGCTCCTTCAATAGGGATGGTTTATTTATTTTATTGACTTTAACCCAATATTTATGTAGCTTAGTATTTTTAAACACAGTTTCTCAATGACATGTTTTTGGTTTTATAAAATATGACACTGTCTGGGCTGGGGTTTTGGCTCAGTGGTAGAGCACTTGCCTACCACATGCGAGGCCCTGGGTTCAATCCTGAGGACCACATAAAAATAAATAAATAAAATAAAGGTATTGTGTCCAACTACAACTAAAAAATAAATATTAAAAAATATGACACTTGAAGATATATACAATAAATCTTTTTATCTTTTATATATGTGAATTCACATGAAATTAGTACATGAATGTATGTGTAGTACAATGTGGTGAGCACATTTATTCAGTGAAATTACACTTCCCTGTTAAAACCCATACCTAGAAATCTTAGAAACAGCTTTTTAAATGTCTTTTTCCATTAAGATCTTTGCCATAAGATTTATTACTATGCCTGAGAAACCTCAAGTCGGTTGAAATTTATACATGTGTCAACTTTTAATTTGAGATAGGGCTAAAAACTTGAAAACTAACAAGTTTTTAATTATTTTATTTTCCTTCCAAAACTTACCCTATTCTTTCAGCTCTAAAACTGCAAAATATCTACCTGTTCAAAAAATGTTATGTAGCAATCAGTTTTTTAATTGAGAACTAAAAAAACAGGGTGAGGTAGGAGGTGATGAGAGTGAAAAATGTGTTCACTTCTACCTCCCATCTAATACATTTAGGGTTTAAAAAATACCTCAGGAATATTTACAGTAGTCTGGAAATGGTGGCGTACACCTTAATCCCAATGACTTGGAGGATTGCAAGTTCAAGGCTAGTATCAGCAACTTAGTGTCCTCCTGTCTCAAAATAAAATAAAAAGAGCTGTAGATGGAGCTTGTTGATAGATGGTTAAAGCTCCTTTGTATTCAGTCCCCAGTATGTGGCCCCCCCCCAAAAAAAAAGGATGTAGTTGTGGTAAGGGCATGGAACTGGAGAATTACTAAGTTATTCGTACCTAATTTTTTGAGGAATATAATGTAGATTCTTGTCAGGAAATTTTAATTTTGATTTTTTTTTTTTTGTGATTTACAGACAGATGCCAGTGTCAAGGCCATATTTTCAAAAGTGATGGTTATTACAAGTAAGTGATTTTAAATCTATATAAAATTTAAGATTTAATCAAAATAATTCTTATAATATGTTTCATTTTAGGCTTTGAAAATATAGCAAATAATTAATGCATTTTTACTTGATATTCAATAAGCAACTCAGCTTTACTTTTTTCTGATTTTTACTTGGCATATGATATAGAATTTCAGATTTTCTTTTGTAAAAACTTGAGTTGGAGAAAGGATTCATTGCATAAATTTATTTCTGAGAATTCACTTAAATCATTATATGAGCTTACTTTAGTGCTTTGGTGTTGGTTGCTCTTCATAAAATGTGAATTTTAAGAAGCTGATTTCACACTGAGTGAAAATTGAATATATCCAAGGACTACATTAACAGTTTCTTTTGAAAAAAAATATTTATTTGATTTAAGTGATGCTCAATAAATGTTATTTAATTGCATTGAACAGTATGTGTAGTACATCTTTATTTCTTGCAAGAGTAGGGAAATAACTATGTTTGTGGTCATTTCCTTTTCCTCCCACCTTGACATTATTGTGTATAGCAGATGTATTAATCATAGAGGTAATCAGGAATACCTGGCAAAATGAGTCTACTGAACTTCCACTTGATGATAATGAAAAGATCTTAAGATGGATCTGAGATGCTGACTATTACAAAACGTGTATGGAAGTAATGCGAAGACATTGAAGAGTGCAGTAACTTAATTCACTGGGTTTTAGGTTATGTGATTGGAGTTTTAGTGTGAATAGATCTTTTAAGAACAAAATATATTTCATATCTGGGTAGATAAAACTAGTTTTCAGTCTTTTTTGATAATGTGCTACAGTAAATAGTTTTATGCTTTTTTTTTTTTTTTTTAAATCATCACTATTTTCTCAGTAGTTTGGTTCTGGCTAGTATCCTCTTAAGAAGATGATCCCCTATATTCTTTCTGTTTTTTCCCCTCTGTCCATTTTCTTCAAGCAAGGTAGTATTTTTCACTTTTTGTTTGAGGAAAGCTAGTATCCTATAGGTGGTTAAGGGTATTGTGACAAAGAAGGGGTTGCAAGGACGATATATTTGTATGATGCTGAATTTAAAGTTTTGTTTTGTTTTCTCTCTGTTGTCCTCAGTCTTCCATCTCTTCCCCTTTTGCACCTCTCCTCTTTAATAAATAGGTCTTCTTATACCCTTTAATATGATGCCTGTTAGGAAGGGACTATAAAATGACATTTTCCAAAACTATTTAAAAACAATACTCCCTTTTCCATAATACCATTAAACTCCAGTGAATTGCTAGTGATGTTTGGATCAGTTTGTAAAGTGCTACACTAACAGTTTTCCAGCTTTCCTTCAGGTGCTTATTGTATGCTGAAGCTTATTGCTTACAACTTACGCAAACATTTAGTTTGTCTTCTATATGTACTGTGTTTTATCTGTTGTACTAACATATGGAGCCCTTTCTTTGCAATGAATTTTTTTTCTCATATAGAAAACATGAAAAGATCATATAACAAGTGTTTAATTGGATTAATTTATTAATATATTCTTTCCGCATTTAGTGATTCAGTTATTCTTGTTAAGACTTAATATACATTTTCAGAACTGTGGGAACTTGAAGATTGAACTTACTGTATTCATACTTTAAGATTCATTTGAATTTCTACTACTTTTTTCTATCCAAAGTTTTGTAATTTCTGTTCTAGTCTAGTTCTTTATAGCAGTTAAATAGCCAGGGTGGGGTGGGAACACCAGACTAGGATCAACATTTTATTAGTTCTCTTAGGTTTTTTGATTCACAAGACCCATTAGAGTAATATGAAGTTTCGTACAAAGACTTAATCTCTTCTCATACAGTAATGACATATCCAACAGTAAAACTGGAAACAGCTTACTTAGTATATTTCAGTTCCAGATAGCAAGCATGTATATATGGATTTTCTCTGGATTGGCATAATAATAAACATAGAAATATAAGAAAATAGTTCCTTAAAGATAAAACTTGGTGATTTATCTTTTGCTCTGAACTTCAAGAGAACAACATATGCCATAAGCTTGAGGGAACACTAATAATGAAATGGGCATTATTAAGGTTGATCTTGATATCTTTAAATGCTATAAGAAGTTATTTAGAAATAGCCAGTGCAGTCATTTCCTGCATAGATATCTCTTCATAGTTGACCCTGTTTTATATTTCTAGAAAGCAGATTTTATTTGTGAAAATTGACTATTGATGTTACTTCACAATTTATTTTATTGAACTAACCTGAACATGTAGATAAGAATTATTAATCAAAATAATAAAAAATGAGAAGTACTGATTTTTAAAATTATTTTGAGCAATTTAAAAATGTATTTTAATTAAATTTTAATTTATTTTAAGGAAATTTGCCAGATCCTGGTAAGGCTCAGGATTTCATGAAGAAATTCACACAAGTGTTAGAAGATGATGAGAAAATAAGAAAACAGTTAGAAGTACTTGTTAGTCCAACATGCTCCTGCAAACAGGCTGAAGGTTGTGTGGTAAGGAGAGAAAGAAATAATGTCTGAAAAACACCCAAATAGTTTTTGTCTCCCTGCCTTAAAAAGTAATTTTCATTTATTATATGAAATTTAGAAAACGTAATATAAGTAACAATACAAATAAACTATAATCCCTCCATATAGATAATTGTTAATGTTATGGTATGTATTCCAAAATGAAATGATATTACATATACAGTGTTAAATATTTTACTTAGTCATTTATAGTATTATATTAAATAGCTATATAGCATACCACTGAATACATATGCCTCGCTTTACTGAATAGTCTACTTTTTTGTACATTTAGATTTTCCCCCACTTGTTGATTAATGCAAAGAACTGTATAACATTTCTGCACATTCTTGATCCTTTATTATACATTCTTAGGAATATAATTGCATGGTTTAAAGGTCCATTTTTTAAAATCTTCAATATGTATTGGTACATTGCTTCCCAAACTGGTTAGTTTTTACTAACTGCCAGTGGTGAGAGTGGCTATTTTCTCTTTCAAAATGTTGGCCAGTATCACCACTAGAAACAAAATTCAAATAAAAACCAACAAAAACTTACTTATTTTGGTAGAATTTGTATTTGTTGGTTGCTAGTCATCTAATCATCTTTTTTCCATGAGTTTCTTATCTATTCATTCTGCTTTTGTGAATTGCATGTTTATCATTTTGCCTATTTTTTATGGAATGGTATTTATCTTATTGATTTGTTAGTTTGTCATAATGGCATTGTCTGTTAAGATATGAACAATTTTATGTCAGTTGTAGTTTGCCCTTTGATTTATGATGTTCTTTATGTATCATAATTTTTATTTTTATCTAGCTGGGTCATGAGGTTTTTGCTTTTGGTGTCCCGATCACAAAATCCTATTCTATTGCAAGTCAGTGAAAATATTTACTAATTTCAGTGTTTCTTAATCTGTTATTCATGTATCTTCTGAGCTGCTTTTTAGAGAAAGATGATTCTTGGTTCTTCTACCCCAGGTTAATTAATTAGAATTTTCAGAGTGAGGTCCAGGAGTCAGTAGTTTTAAGAAGTTTCTCTGATAAGGTTGCTAAAGTTTGTGTGTCTACTGGATCCTTGGTTTTATTTTATATTTTTATCCTTTTAAGCTTTTTTTTTTTTTTGGTAAAAGACATGATATAGAAATCTTTGTTGTTTCAAATTTATCTCCAATTTTATTTCAAAATGTTATATTGAATAATTTACCCTTTTCCTATTTACTTGAAATGTTACCTTCCTCATACACTTAATTCTTAAACTAGTTTAAAAAATTTTTTTTTACTTATTCCATTCTTATTGATTTACTGATTGCAGCATCAGTACTACATGGTTTTAATGTAGTATCTTAATATTACAATGTAGTGATTTGTTTAAACATATTTTTGTGATATTTAAAAAATCTACATTACAGCGTGAAATAACTAAGAAGTTGGGCAACCCTAAACAGCCTACAAATCCTTTCCTGGAAATGATCAAGTTTCTCTTGGAGAGGATAGCACCTGTGCACATAGATACTGAATCTATCAGGTATTTGTATATAAAAATATTAAGTTTTCATTACTATTCACCCATGCATTTAGGAGGTCAGTGACTATTGGGTACTGCTATGTGCAAGGCATCAAACTAGTTACTCATTTATGTAAACTTACGTAAATTTGCTCCTGTGTATGTACACACACACATTTCTGAATTTATATATACACATATGTGCACTCATCTGTGTATATATTTATTTAGTTTTTCTTCTTTTTAATTTTAGTTTTATGCATTGGTTCAATTTATATGAGAAATTGTCAATCCAAGTCTAGTATTTTGTGTTAATAATATACCAGGAGTGCCTCTTTTGTTAACTTGCATAGGTAAGTTAGGTAGCATAAATTTTAATTACAACCTCAGAAAAGAAAAACTAGATGAATTTGTTTTGAAGGAACATTTGATGTATTTTCACAAATATATGAGAACTGAAAGTGTTTCTTTAAACAACTCTTATTTAAAGTTTCAACTTTGATCCAGGTGGAGTAGGTGGAGTGGTGCACGCCTGTAATCCCAGCAGCTCTGGAGGCTCAGATAGGAGGGTTGCAAGTTCAGAGACAGCCTCAGCAACTTAGTAAGGCCCTAAGCAATTTAGCAAGACCTTGCCTCAAAAAAAAAAAAAAAAAAGGTACTGGGGATGTTGCTCAGCAGTTAAGTGCCTCTAGGTTTAATTCATGGTTGGTGCCCCCCTCCCCCCGAAGAAAAGTGTTTCAGGTTTGATACCATCTGTGACATTATTTCTTTTTACATTTGTATTCCCTTTTGTGAAATGTTGGCAGAACTTCCTCCCATCTCCTGGACTTTTCCTTAAAATATTTAAAAATATTTTATGGAAAACTCTGGGAAAAAGTGCTTTTAAAAATATAGCATAATGACTTATTATTCATCTCTGGTGCCCTTTGGGAGTATATATTAAAATTAAAATAATACTAATGACTTGTCATCTTGTATTCTATGAATCCTTTTGGATATCCCTAAGAGGTAATACTTTACCTAAAAGAGAAGAATGGGTAATATTTTGTTTTTTCAGAGATGAGAGAAAGAGTATTGTAGGCACTGAGATTAACATATCAAGCTAACTGGATAAGAAAGAAAAGAGATATTTAGAAAATGATGTCATATATTTGAATTATAATATGGAGAGTTGATCCTTGAAAAGTAGATTTGGATCAGATTGTGGAAGGCCATTAAGGTTGACCGTTAGAGTTATACTTCATTATTTGATTTTTGAGAACCACACTTCATTGAGTTGTATGATTGGAGGAGGGGAGTAGAAGAGAGATTGCTACAGCAATATTGTGGTTATCTCCTATGGTAGTGGGATAAAAAGAAAAGAACTTTATTTGCAGGAGGTTTTAAAATAGCAACCTACATATTATCATCTTATTTCATATAGGAAATAAAGACAAGCAGACAGAAATATAAGATTTTAAGTCCATATAATAGAGTAAATAAATCTTTGCCTTTAGCAATCAGATCCTACTGATCTAGAAGATATGTTAGAACATAAACACTAACAGTAATTAGTACTGATAATGTGACTGGGAGGACTCTAAAAATGTTTTCAAGTTATAACTTATTTATTTAATTTTATGAATAGGAACCATTCATAAAGTTAAATAAATGATATATAACTTTAAAAGAATAAAAAATATTGTTATAGGAACTATTATTATTACCACTTTATAGAAAAGGAGCAGTGAGTTATAAAGGCATTGTATTAAATTAAGAAAGTTGCTACAGAGCCCACCACACTGTACAGTAGCCTCATGGAAGAATCTGCTTTCAGTTCTATCTAGTAGTCAGCTAGCACTCATTTCATCCAACTCTGACAGTGTTAACTAATCTTTTTAGTTTCTGCATTTTTAAAGTTGAATATATTTTAATAAGACTGAAATTCTTTTTCCTAAATATTTCTTGGCTAATTGCATTTCTTTGAGGAAAGCCTGTTATTTTTCTTATGAGGGCCTCAGAGAATTTTTTTTTTTCTAATTGACTATAAGAATATTTTTAAAAGGCTAAACTCAGTTTGCCTTTTAAACATGTGTTTGACATTAATAAATATTAAGTTATATATTAAGTTATTTGCTCTCTTTTGGCCTTTGATATCATATTAGCTAGTTCTGCTTTTTACATTAAAATCTATAATTAGTCTTGAAATTATTTTTGTACAAGGTAGACATAGAGATCCAACCTTTTTTTAAAGGTACATGAGAGCTTGCTATTAAAAATATGGAAAAAAAAATTAGATTGAAAATTTTTATTTGGAGTAAAGATAATGAAAATAGAATAATTAGGGAAAATGATGAAAAAGAAAACACCCTCAGGAACATACTCTTAAAAGATAAATTTAAGAGATTATTATAAGGGTGATAGATACACTTGATTCCTAACTTGATATTAAATTTGAGTATATGGTATTTTTGAAGAAACATTTATCTGGTAAATATGGAACACTGAATAATTAAATCTTATTTGTTTTTTGTGTTATTCGATCTGGCATTTTGTTACTTGATTTTGTTGAAAGAACAAATACCCATCAGTTGTGATTGATTATTTTAGGTAATTAATTGTCAATTCCATTACGTGTTTATTTTGAAGGTAACATAGGCCTGTTTTTAGAAGAAAACTTGAAAGCATTAAGTTTCCCTTTTGATCTATAGCAGCTCTTTTTTTTTTTAAATGTTCTTATGAGGTTTTATTGTATCTGTTACATAGATATTTTTATACCTTTTAGTAGGAGGCCTGTGCTTTCTGGCTCTTAACAACTGTGCTTAACACACTGTATCTAAGTGCTTGATGTTGCCTTTTATTTTATTTTAGCATATTTGGATTAATAATTTTAGATAATTATTAAAGGAGCAAATCTAATAATGTTAACATTTGGACCTCATTTGAATGGATATGGAAAATAACTTTTTTTTTTCTACTTTGCAACAGTGGGGGTATATTAGGATTAAACTGAAGGGTGTTTTACCATTGAATGTTCTACATCTCCAGCCTTTTTAGTTTTTCATTTTGAGACAGGAAGGATCTTGCTAAACTTCCCAGGTTGTCCTTGAACTTGCAGTCCTCCCAAGTAGTTGGGATTACAGGTGTGTACCATCACGCCCAGCAGAGAAGCTCTTTGAAAATGCAGCAGCCAAATAGTTGATTGTTTTACAACAATGTTTGAAAAACCACTCTAACAAGTTTGTATGGGGCACATGTATATATAATACTGAGGAAGTTTTCTTAGATATTGCTCTTGAATGACTTGTGATTTTTGTATACTTTAGTGCTCTTATTAAGCAAGTGAACAAATCAATAGATGGAACAGCAGATGATGAAGATGAGGGTGTTCCTACTGATCAAGCTATCAGGGCAGGTTTGGAACTGCTTAAGGTAAATATTTTTTTTAAATCAAGTGCCTAATAGATAAATGTTACTTGTTATTGAGGTTTGCCTCTAAAGTTTATATTATGTAAAATAAAATTTTCTGTTTGTTTTAGATAATTTAGAATTTGCATATTCTAATTTGTAATTGAATGTTTTTAGGTTTAAATTCTATTATCTACCTCAGTATTAATACATTAAAATAAGGAGTATAATTTAAGATATCATTAGTAAGCAAAGCAGGTGCTAATAGTTTTGTAGAATGAACCAAATTCTTCCTGAAACTCTATTGCATTTCTTATTTTGTTAGATAAAACATACTGCTGACTTTTACTGATTATATCAGTATCAGTTCATGGCTAAAAACATAAAATTCTAAAGAAAACATTCATAAGCCCTTCATACATAAACATTCATGTTTTTTGTTTCCTTTCACTTTTTTAAAAAAATGCAATTTATATAGTTGAAATTAGATCAAATATTGAATGTTGTATCTTTTTATAAAGTATAAGCATTTTTGTAGTGTTTTTTAAAAATATGAATGTCAAAAAGCAGATCTGAATTTTAGCTGTTTACTAGCTCTGTGTTTTGGAGCATATTTACTTGTGTATGTTTCCTCTTTAATAATAATAACAATATCTCACAGGCAACTAAATTAAGTTGTGTACATGAATTTCTTAGCACAGTTCTTGGCTTGTAGTAAAACTTAATAGCAAACATTTTCTTTTTAGACAGTGATCAGATTAGGGAGTATCAGTGATAACTATTCCTTGTTGGATATTTAGATTTTTCTAATTTTATTCTTATAAATATTAGTACTTAAGATGAATTTATTAAGATCTTTTGGAAAATAGGAGGGCATTACTGGTTTGAAAAGAATGGTCAATTTTCAAAATGCTTGGAGAAGAATATATATATATTTTTGTGTGTACATATACATTCAATGGGTGTGTGTGTGTGTGTGTGCGCGTGCGTGCGCACGCATGTGTATGAAATTTGATTTTATCCCTGTGGTTACACAGTTTTCTCAGGATCATTTTCTTTTTTTCCCCCAGTGCCTTCTTTATAATCTAATATAGTTTATGTTAGGATCTATTTTTTGTTTTACTTCTGTTTCATGCTTCTTTCAGTGTAATTACTATGTTGATTTGGTTATTGTTACTTTATAATATCTTTTACTATCACCAGAGTTTTTACCCTTTCCCTAAATTACTTTTTTCAAAATGTTCTTAGCTATTCTCTTCTAATTCCTTTATTTAGAAATAAAGATACTTCACCGGATTCTTTTTTATGTCCCTTTTTTTCCTACCCTCATCACCACACCCAAATAATCCTACACAGTAATCAAAATCAAGTTTGACTAGAATTATGTTAACATACTATTTAATTTTAGAAGAAATTATTTTTACATGTAATGCAGACTTCATGAAGATTTCTATTATATATCATATGTTTATCATTTTATTTATAGTGCTTTCAGTTTCTTGTTAGCATAATTATTTTTGTATTGACTTGATTTGTACTATATCTGATATTTAGTATTTTGGATTTGCATTATAAGGATGAAAAAAGGTTTTACACATGATATTTATGACTCATTTTCTAGGTCCTCTCATTTACGCATCCTATCTCATTTCATTCTGCTGAAACATTTGAATCACTTCTGGCTTGTCTGAAAATGGATGATGAAAAAGTAGCAGAAGCTGCACTACAAATTTTCAAAAACACAGGAAGCAAAATTGAAGAGGATTTCCCACACATCAGATCGTGAGTTGAACTTATTTTGATAAATGTTTTGGGCACATTGTTGCTGAAGTAATAATTAGAATCTTTTAAAGTTTTTTGGGAAATCTTGGGGAAAGATTGTCAGGTTACCTTATTCTATGCTGTTCAATGGAAATTATCCTTTCCTGGGAGAAAGCACTGATTGATATTTTAGAAGAGTAATGAAAAAGGAAGGTAAACATGCCACATCTTTATGAAGCATTAGTTTTACTTAAAAGATTTTGATGAACAGAATTTTATAGTAAGTCGGTCCCTGGCATATTATAGCATGGGATAAACAATTCACTTGATTTAAAGTAGAGGGAGAAATTTCAGCAGGACTCTTTATTTTCTTCTGTGATTAAGTGTACTACTGGATCAAAATTTTCATAAGCTATGTTTTACTTGACATAGGGGTATAGAGAAGCATCAAATACTCATCTTAATAGCAGTATAATATTTTCTGTATTCTAGTATTTCTAAGAAGTAGAATTTGAGTTGTTATTCGAGGGCTAATAGTAGTTTTCATTGTTCAAGATTCTGTAATAGCCCAAAAGAGTAAGTGTTCAATTTTTCTGTGTTACTTCTTATTTTTCTATACATGCCTCATGTTTTTGGAGATAAGTTTTGACAGGTGGTCCTGATATTGCCACAGTCATCAGTGGTTGGTTTTACCTCTTCCTCATCGGTTCTGGCTTAGCCACTGTTCTAGTTAGTTGTGGTTGGGATAGCATGCTTCTTCATGCAGAAGAATTGCCTATTGCCTTTTTCCTCATGAAGACTTTTGGCGCAGGTAGCTCTTAAGAGTGAGTTATAAATTTTATTATTCCTTTCCAGAAACTGCTGATAAATAGGACAAAGGCATTATTTAAATAGTAATTGAAATATACCAAAATTTTCTAATAATAGTCTCTGTGGTAAGAAGGAGAAATCTTATTGTTTGGAACTGCCTTATTAATTTCTAAGTGAGTTCAGAGTGTAAGTTTTTCTGTGGAATGGCATGATGGCTCTTGTAGATAGATCAGAGACCCCCACTACCATCGTCGTATGTACATTTACGGAATACCTACATAATATACTGTCTCATATGAATTTTATAATAATTCAGTGAAGTATGATTATTATCCTAATCTTCCAAGTGAGGAGTCTAATGTTCAATGAGGCAATTGGTTCTGGGTCATATAACTAACAAGAGCAGGGGCATGACTACATTTATGTTCGTTGTCTCCATGCCTACAAAAACATAACCATTATGGTACAGTTCCTTTTTAAAAAATATCTTTTTAGATATTGATGGACCTTTATTTTATTAATTTATTTATATTCAGTGCTGAGAATCGAACCCAGTGCCTCATACATGCTAGGCAAATGCTCTACAACAGATTCACAACTCTGTCGGTGGGGGGTCTGGGGCTTCCTTTCTTATTCTTTGAACAAGTTTTATTTGACTTATTCATTGGGGGTTTATATTATCTTTATTCTAGATTGTCTTTCCTAGTATCCTTTGTGTTTTAAAGAAACATTGTTTGACTTTGGCACAACGCCACACTCCTGTAATCCCAGTGAATTAGAAAGCTGAGGCAGTAGAACTGCAAGTGTGAGGCCACCTCTGCAACTTAGTGAGGCCCTAAGCAACTTAGTGAGATCTTCTCTTAAAAAAAGGACTAGGAATGTAGCTCAGTGGTAAAGTGCCTCTAGGATCAATCCCCAGTGCTCACAAAAAAATCCCCAACAAAACAGAAAACATTGATGTATTTTTAAGAGAACTAAAAGAACAAGGTTGAAAGGTTGACATTTTAAAATACTCAAGGGCATTTTAAAATGTGCTGCTTTAATATGGAATTGAAACACTTAAAATAACTTGGTTTATATGCTGAGTATATTTGAAATGTCTCTCATGAAGAGAATTAACTGATACTGAATACTTGCTGTGTATTTACACTATTCTCAGTAATTTATTGTATATGCCTTCCAGGAGATAAAATATGAACATTTTGTGTTTTAAATTATTAAATTGGTAGTTAATGTTGAGGAAAAATGATGAATATGTGAATGTTCATTAAATTTTCTTCTCTTGAATTGACCAAAATAATTAAAAAGAACCAGAGGAAAATATAATTAAGTAGAATGTACCACAAAGAACTGGCACCAGGTATGCCATTTAGACTAAATTAAATAATACATATCCCTAAATCAGGTATATAAGGCATTTATAGTAGGTATCTTCTTATTTGGTAATTTAGAGGGGAGACTATAAGGTAGAGATAGGCTTTGAGAGCAATAAGGAAAACCTGGTTTCACCTGTAATATTAATACAGGAGAGGCATTGTAATAATTTTTTCTTAGGCCAGTCTGTTGTTCTTAGTTGGAAAAATAAAGATCCAAGGTTCAATAAGAAGGGAACTTTTGGGGCTGGGGATGTGGCTCAAGAGATAGCACGCTCGCCTGGCATGCGTGCGGCCCGGTTTCGATCTTCAGCAGCACATACAAAGATGTTGTGTCCGCTGATAACTAAAAAGTAAATATTAAAATTCTCTCTCTCTCTTTCTCTCTCTCTCTCTCTCTCTCTCTCTCTTAAAAAAAAAAAGAGAAGGGAACTATGAAGGAAATATTTAACTATTAACAGGAAAAGAGAAAATTATGTGCTTTAATGGATGGTGAATTATGATGTTCTCTTCTGACTCAGCTTTTCTCTCAGGAGTTTAAATCACCCCAAAGTAGGAAAACTAAGAGTCCTTTTATAGCCCATATTCCAAATGGAACTGATTGTCATCTTTTTAAGGCAATTTTTTTTTTCATACTGAGATTGAAGCCAGGAGCACTTTAACACTGAGCTACACCTGCAGCTATACCTTTTTATTTTTTATTTTGAGACAGTCTCTCACTGAGTTGCTGAGAGTGTTAAGTTGCTGAGGCTGGCCTTGAACTTGCCATCTTCCTTCTATTTCAGCTGAGTTGCCAGGATTCCTTGTCCTTTTTAACGAATTTTGGGGAGAAATTACACAAGAGACAAGATTCACTACTTACAGTCCTGACTTCCTTTCCTGTGCTACTTAGCTGATTAAGTCACTATAGCTGGAGTAGGAGTATTAGTATTAATTTATTTTTCCTGGTACTGAGAATCAAACCCAGGACCTCACACATGTGAGGGAAGTGCTCTACCACTGACCTATGTCCTTACTCTTTGATGTTAAATTTTAAAAGATGTATTCAGTGTCTAGTCTGCAGAGAGACACTTTCGTTTAAAATGTCACAGCCAGAAACAATTTCCTTACTCCCAAAATAATTAACAGAATACAAATTAGCTAACAAAATCTTTGTAAATATTTTGGCATTCATGAAATTGTTGATAAATAAGTACTATTTAGAAAATTGAGTTTTTCAAGATAAAAAGAAAATTGTAGTTGCTTTAAACTGCCAAGAAAGTTAAACAACTAATGTCATTTGGGGGAAAAAAGAGGGAGAACAAAAATAAGATAATAAAGGGAAAGAAGCAAAGGTTAAGAAGAACTAAAATATGTTTACATTATATAATTTTATAACTAGCATAGAATAGAATAAACAATATAGAAAAAGTGGGGCATGAGGAAGTTGTATAGAATGTGGAGAAAATGGTCAGAAAATGAAGGCAGTTAAAGAGAATGAATTGCAGTTAGTGAAAAACCATTATTGGTTTTTCTGGAGAAGAAAGCTGAGTAATGGGAAATGAAAATATTCAAGAAAATAGCAATAACAACAACAATAATGGTAATAATAAACTTCTTAGAATTAATCTGGAGATCAGGTACTTGTATTTTAAGAAAATAACCTGGTACAATTTACTGAATTATGGGAGTGGGTTCCCAGAAATGAGACATAAAGAAAAAAAAAAGATAATGTACAGCAAAAGGAAATGAGACTGAATTCTTTTCAACTAATAATTTAACACCTGGAGAGTTTTGAAGAAAAAGGAATATAACTAAAGAATTCCCTTGCCATCCTAAGTTGTGTGTAAGTAAAGGCAAATGAAAAGCATCTTCAAGTATTGAGGGCTCTGAAAATGTATTTTCCTTTTTTATTATGAGATCACTTCTTCTATCCACTTGTATGCCTTTCTCATTGGAATTTGTTTGCATATGCCATTAAATTTGCCATTTATTTTCTTCTTATTTCTATATGTCCTACGTAAATACTCTTGAATGTTTACTTTCAAACATGGCTATGAAAATTCATTTGGAAAACTGCATTATCTTTTTTTTTTTCATTTTAAAGGATAATGCTAAGAAGTAAAATTGCCTTAAGAGGGGGAAGAAAAAACCTAATAGAGTATAATTATAAAAGAAATTGAGAAAATTTATTCTCTAATAAAAGCACTAAGAAAAGGAGGGGGGAGGGAGAGAGAGATTGAGAGATTGATTTCATTTTAAATCTGTGAGAAATCAGGAATTCTGATTCTTTTTAATTGTTCAGAATATGGGATTAAAAAAAGAAAAGAACTCAATTCTTTAAAGCATGGATGCTAAAACTGAATGAAATACATTTTCCTAAAAGAAAGCTAAGACAAATCTTAGTAATGATTTCTATGTAAGTGAAATTTTAGCAAATAGAATTTTACTGTAGTAAAATAAGAGTATATTGTGGCCAGATATAGTTTATTCTAGGAATACCAAGAGGATTGGTATTATTAAGCTTCATATTCATGTTTATAATTTATTATATAAATAGGAAAAAGGGGATACCATAAATCATTTTGATAGATGCTGAAAGTGCTTCTGATTTAAAAATAAGAATCAGTCTACTACTAACTGAATTTAATTTTATAGGAATAAATATAACATAATGAATATTTCTCAAACCAGTACAGTGCAGTACAGTAAAACATTAGAAATATTTCCCATAAAATCAGGAACAAGATAAGAAACAACACCATCCCTGTGATTATTTAACAATGTTTTTGAATATTAGCCAGTGTAATTGCATAAGAAAATAAGAGGAACAAGTATTGGAAAGTCAAAAACAAAACT